TTTACTAAATTTACTTGTCAACGGTCGTTGATATTCATATTCAGACTCGAACTCATCCTCATGGCTATCTGAACTCAGTAGTTTGGTAAATCATGTATTAACCATTGATGCTTAGGTTACTGAATTTAAGTGTCGTTGTGAACAATAACAATAAACTTTAAGCACACCTAGATAGAGTGAAGTGAATGTGTTAGATTCTATTTCTAGTCTTAACCCTCGTAATTGCGACTATGAACTAGTTCAATCACAATAAACACAATTGTCTCAATATAATTTCCCTTTTTAATTGCTATCAAAACTTCTCATTTCTGATTACCACAATGACAAGATCATTGAGAATTGCCATGAATGAAAAGGTAGTTAGCATAAAGGGAAAAACGTACTGATTTCAGACTAAAAACAAACAAAGTTAGTTGTTGTATTAGCTACATTTAGAAGAAGGCAAATAGAATGAACTAGCTATTAAATGAATGAGAGAAATGTATGGTCTACATAATCATATTTCTGTGTAGTATACTGTAATAGCATATGGGTTTGTAAATCTATCAATATGTATGACGTAATGATACCGTCAATTAGAGAACAGTCATTTTTCGATCAAACTAATGACACATAAAGCCGTACGAGCAGTTTAGAGTATTTATCAGTTCTTCTTCTTCCTGACTAGCTCTGCCTGCCTCTTGAGTCTAAAACACAAATCTCAGCCTCCACGATATGAATCCTGTATTTCAGATATACTGGGTTTATATACAAATCAAAAAGACCACATCGCACTATAAAATAGAAAACAGCATTAGTAAAAGATGAAGTCAATAGGGACTGTGAATGTGGGAGACAGTATTTGATAGACTGGGCATAACTCAAGAATGGTAAATGGTATAATAATAGTTCTTAAGTCAAAATGAACCACATAACTTGAATATGAACAGTGTAGTTACTTAACAAATACGCAATAAGAAATATATGTGTAAAGTATTAGTCCATAAATAGTTGTAAAGAATTAGTATTTTTAATTCTCATCGGGATATAACATACACCTCTTCTGTTCTGTATGGAAACATTTATTCTTCCTATAAATACATGATATTCATTATAATATCCATCCATAAGTTGCTTCTGAATAATAAGAGGATTGAATTCTATAGCTTAATTAGAGGTTTGAAGGTGTTTGAGGAACTAAATGCATCTCATTACTTACTTACGCCTGTACCCTTCCTTATGGAAGAAAATAAGTAGCCCACCAGCATTATCCACCCAACTATGTCACAGACAATCCTTTCAAGATCTTTCCAGTTGTTAGTCACCATTTCATGCTTGTTACTAATTCTCGACACAGTGTGTTTGTTAGTCTCCCTCTTTTCTCTTTTCATTCAGGATTCTAAATAAGGCTTGCTTCGTAATGCAGTTCGATGATTTCAGCAATGTGTGTCCTATTCACTCCAAACATGTTTTTCTAATTTTATATTCAGCCGGAAGTTGGTTCGTTCTCACTCATAGTAGGCTTTTGCTTATGGTATACGACCAACGCATATTCAGTATCTTGCATAGACAATTGTTTATAAATAATTGAAACTTATTGATGATGGTTATGGTAGTTCTCCAGAGTGAATTTTCCACCGACCACTTATATGTTATGATGATGAACATTTACCGTACATAGACAATGAGTTTGTACATGCAATACTCATTATCCGCCAGTTTCCTGTTTGTGATTCAAATCACACCCTAGATCACTATTAATAATTATGAAACAGATACATCTGAAATTCTCTTTAGTTCATCAAATACGGAGAGGTAGTGTAGACTAAGCTCTGAAAGTATTTGTAAACTATAAAAGCTGAAACAACAATGAGACAACTGAAGATCACAACTTCTGATAACATTCGCAAACTACATGCTTGCAGGATTCTAGAAACTCAATACAGACGATGGTTAGATGTTTATCAATTGAAAGTGGTATGCCTGATGGTAGAAGATTAAGAAGATCGAGGAGCAGAGAGCGAGAACAGGGAATGTTTGGTGTAGAAGCGAAATAACAATGAAGTTTGAGATGATTGATTGACATTTTTCAATTGAACTATTTACTGTATGGTTCTCAGAGTTTACTGTGTGATCGTTTGCTTTCTTTTTCTTCTTTTTCATTTTCCCAACTTTGAAATGTTTTATTCAACTGAATCACTGAATATTGACAGGCGGAAATTTAAATTATTCATGAATATGTCAAAATACTCAAATGAAAATTTGTCAGTTTGTTTATGATTAGATATATATTTCTTGATTATGGATATAAAGAGTGATGGTAGATGATTTCATTGAATAGATGGATAAAGAATAATTGTCTTGTCAACTGTAATCTTTTATTCCGTTACCTTAGCAGCTAGTAAACTATGCATGATAATAAGACCTAAATATCATAGTTCATGTATTCGACACTATAATTTCAACTAGTTGAGTCCAAATTCATTAGTGAATCCATTATGGTTTTGTAATGTGTGCTACTGATATCATCAGATATTAGTAGTATGTATGATCAATCGAAAGTGAAATATCTGGTGACAGATGGTTAGGAAGATCGAAGAAAGGAGAAAGAGAACAGAAAGCATTTGGTATTCAAATGAATGAACGGTCAAGTCTGAGACGATCGATTGACGTTTTGCAAATGAACTATTTACTGTATGGTTATCAGATTTAACCGAGATGTTCTGTAATTTGTGTGTTCCAATACATCCGTTCCTTTTCACTGCAATAGTATCGTTACATCTACAAAGAGTGTACTTATATCTAACAGTGAATAGTCAAATTACATCATCAAGGGGAAACTGGAAACTTCTAGAATCATTGTAGATTAATCAATTTTATTTTAGAAAACTTCACGTTTCATTTTAAATACAGTCTGATATTCAATACAATTTTAAAGTGTGATATTCACTTCATCATCGATATTTATGATATAACTAGTGAAAAGAATATTGGGAAATTCAGTCAAATAACTAATAATAAGACAAGCAAAATGAGCCCATGAATCAGTATAAGTTAGACCAACATTGAACATCTGAAAGCACTGGACGTCTGTTTCGTCCTAGTATGGGAGTTCTTATTGAAAGTGCGCATCCACAATACTGCTCTCGAGATTCAATTCCATGACAGTCTACAAAATATATATAACTAATAAGTCTAAATAACCATAGTTTTGTTAATTATATTAACTGTCTCTATGAATTCATTGGCAAGGTGGAATAACTCTCTGGTGTATAATGTGAAAAAAAACATTGGTTCCGAGTCTTAATGTGAATATCAATCATGAAATAAAACAAGAACGCTCAACTGGCAGGTTTCATATTATACAGAACTCACATTCTAGATCCTCCTCTTAAGTTGCTTATTTACTTACACCTGTCACCACACTCATGGAAGAGCATCGACAGCTCACCAGCATTCTTCAACCAATGCAGTCTTGGAGATCGGTTGTTGACTATCTTGCGTAGACAACTGCTTATAAAAATTTGTATCTCCTTGATGATGGTTGTTGTAGTTCACCACGTTTTAGTTCCTTACAGTACGAAGTCATATCATCGTCTACCTTGATTCACTGTGTTGTAACAATCATCAATATACGGCGACGAACACGCCAATATTAGAGATAAAACAGTATATTTAATATGCATAAAAATAATGTTACATAAGGCCACGCCTGCAAGATCAAGCCATGCCATTCGATCGACTCGAATTAACTGAATTAATCTTCCAGCTTTTTTAATCGTTTGGTCTTTCTCCGCGTCAAATATTGAATATCTATTTTCCCGATTGTCTCGTGTTCAGCCTTGAGGCTTGTGTGGTTATACCTCAATGACACAATGCGATATCGACCACTACACGTTTTAAAAATTAGACGATAAATGTTCGATGAGTTTATTCATAGTTGGTGCAAAATCTTCTCTATAATTATGAACAAGTTCATTCATTTATCTGCGGTGTATTTGTCGGTGTTTCACAGTCATATGAATGCATGATCATAAAGCGACATTCCTCACTGTACTCCAGGTAAATATCACATTCACTACACAAAAACGAACATCAAATAACCTGATTATTTAGATATGGTCTGGTGATAAACAACGTAGAAGTATGATTATTGACATTTCTACAAACAACAAACCAGGTCAACACACAGACATTTGGAAAACACACTCTCAGATTATGTGCACCTTTATTTTCACTAGTGTTACTTTTAGAAAAATCATTTTGATGCAACTGTGCATAGTAGATAAGAAGAAATGACATAGAAACCATGACTATGTTATATTTACACACATAATCGTGTGTTAAAGTAATCGATTACTAATTATAAATTATTGCTAAACACATTTAGGTAAAGCATGTCAAACCAGAACGGATCAATATCAGTTCATGTTCTCATTCCCAGACAACCCAAAAAGGGGAAATAATGGGGAAAAAAGGGGAAATAAAGGGGTAAATGCTTTGGTGGCGAAAGGGGAAATAAAGGAGAAAACGCGCCAGAATGTCGCCTTTTTCGCCTGTCCGGGGGAAATAATGCGGAATTTCCCCTTTTTCGCCTTTTTGTCGACAAATTACCCACTTATCGCCTAAATATCCCCCGAATTGTCGCTTTTTCGCCTAAATATCCGCCGAATTGTCGCTTTTTCGCCTAAATATTCGCCGAATTGTCGCTTTTTCGCCTAAATATCCGCCGAATTGTCGCATTTTCGCCTAAATATCCGCCGAATTGTCGCTTTTTCGCCTAAATGTCCGCCGAATTGTCGCTTTTTCGCCTAAATGTCCGCCGAATTTTCGCCTAAAAATCCGCTGAATAGTCACGTTTTCGCCTAAATATCCGCTGATTAGTCGCATATACGCCTAAATACACACATTACACCCCATTTTCTATCCATCGACAGAAGACCAAAGGTCTCCTGTATTCGCCTTCATTTCCAACAACACACAAAAATATTTCTGCAATGCAGTTTAAAAGCGGTAAATTTTTTAAATATTGTATTTAAAAAGAAAAACCTATAATTGTACACAAGCTTAGGCATCTATTGTTATGCATATCCAATGCAATTGCTAATTCATTTTTATAGACAATTATCTGAAAAAGAAGTAACAGTTTTTGTTTTATTTATAAGCAATGTCCATTTAATCGAAAATTCACTCAAACTCAAACACATTCTCAACAGTTTCCCAAGTAAGTAAAAAAGTAAGCTGTTTGAAAGAAAAATGTTTATTGACATCTAGGTAGAACACCAAAACCATTGCACGGACTATTCGGAATTGAGGTAGTCGTCCTGTGAATTCTGAATTAAAAAAAACGTCACAACCATATCTCAATGATGTGCTTTAGCACACCCAAATACTTGAAGCTGAACTTACGGTGATGTTCGTTAATATTGTCGACTGTAACTATAGAGCCGTAGGGAGGTTATCACTTTAAATCTGTACATACCTGGTTATCTTTTCTCCTAGAACGTTTTATCATCTTGTCTCGGATGTCATGAAAGTAACCTTGGGTCGCGATGTCGTAGAGCTTACCAAGGTCTTTTTCGTTGACAGAGGATGACAAAAACCGATGAGTCAAAGCACCTGAAGTTTAAGTAATAGATAAATGTTACTTCGTATGCAGCCGTAAAAAGTGCATTTCTGCAGTGCTCGTTTTGAAGAGGTGCCAAGTAACGTGAATTTACTGGCAAACTCAGGTGTCAACAGATAAGACAAAACAAACCGCATGGACGCTTTTGGGTCGTCACTTGATAGCCTAGTGACCATTGCCATCTGTAATCGTCACAAATAATTAAATTTATGTTAATGACTTACAAATCTGTCCCTCGTTTCTTTCTGCGACAAGCCGGTATCAAGCATCTGCAGTTCCTCTTCAGATGACAAAGGAAACTGCTGACTGGACAGTCCGCAATCGAATTGATGTGGTTTTTCGCTTTCACGAAAATTCGATAGCAGTTGGTTCACATTAACATTCAAGTCAGTAATGGCGGACGACATGTTGTTAATTGTTTTTGTCAGTTCACTGATAGCTGACGACATGTTCAGCACCAGTGTATACAACCTTTCACTGCCGAAAAAGGTCACTACATGATGCAGGTAACTTACTTGTCCACTATAGCGCCGCCAACATGCTTACATTCCGATGTCGAAGGTGATGTCTCCAAATGTGTCGAACTAATTCGTGAATATCTAAATACTAATTAAACGTACTTGGCGATTGGCGATATTAATTTCTCGAAAACACGGAATTTTGGATATTGTACGGGGACATTCCTAGACTGCATCTCAGCAACATCCATGTCTACTGAATTGTAAAGAAAATCTTCTTTACGCTTCATTACACCTCTACAAAATGTTAGTTAGATTATTGTACAGACCTTTTTGGCTTTTCAGTGTTCAGTGGCAAAGTGTTTTCATCCATTGAGGTGTTTTTCCGTTTAGACTCCAGTATCTGTAGGGCAACTAACAGATCTTTTGCCGACTGGAGAGAATCTATGGTGAATTATCCATCCTGTGTATGTAACGTACCTAATTCGTGAATCACTTTACATTTCATAAATGACCAATTTTCATTCGGTTGGTCGCTCTTCTGAAGATGTAAATCGACATGCTCTTTCGGAAAAGCGCACAGTTCCTTTCCTACGATCCAATCTTTGTGTGCTACCATTAGTTGTTTTTTGCTCAGGACGTCAACAATGACGTATTTCTTGTTAGCAGGCTGAAAATAACATAAGACGTAATTAAATGATTTATCGTCATTAATAAACACTAGTGAAACAAAATGCATTTACAATACAGTATGCAACAATGGGACTATAACTACATAATTGATACAGTTGATGGCTATACATTTACAATCAATGTCCTTAAGTGATATCCATGTGTGTTCATGGCTAACTACGGAGCACCTAAAAATTCCAATATCAGTAGATGGGAATGGATCTTCAAAGTAATTGCGTGGGTCAGTGAAAGTCCTAAATTTTAGTAGTCCATCCTCCTTTATATCAGTGATTAAACCTGGCTGGCCGTTCACTACTACTACATTATCAGGCTGACATGAAGTAATTTTACTACTGTTAAACATAATTACTTGTTTTGTAGAGACATCAGTTGTGCCTATTGGGGTAGTATTAGTTAAGCCACTAATTTGAAGCCTATCGCTGAAGGACATTCTCTCAGCATAACGCTGTGCTGCTTGCTTAGCCACTGCAAACCCACTACGCACGGAATCCTTAATTTGCCTAACAGAGGAACGAGCAGGTGCGTCACATATAACAGCCGCCAACCGAATAGCTATGCATTTATTAAACTTGACACTAAAAAGACCCACGTCAGTCATTTCTTTGATTTCAGAAATTGTGTTCGCAGAAAATTCGTTAAATTCTGCGGGTTTACTATTCCCTCCGTAGATACCTATCATGAACACGTTACTAAGCCGAGGGGTAATGATCCGTCCTAGTATAGGCCATAACTGTTGATTAGAGCTTCTAGACATAGAAAGTCCATCTATATTGACATATAAATTTAAAGAGTCAAAATCAGTAGTACACAACCAAAGCTCAACGTATCTTAGCAGATTAGTTTTCAATCCAAGATGGTAGTAAACCCCACTGCCGATGAACTTTGGTTGAACACTTGGACACGTCTTAAGAACACTTCTGATGCTTTTCGGTATTTCCGGTATAAGAAATCGTAGACCATACAAAACCCGATCAGCATCTCTTATGCTAAGAGATGTATTTGACTTTAGATACATTATAAAGTCGTTCATTAGTTCTTTGCGATTCACGAACTTTTGAGAGCACAAGTCCACTTCAGTACATCCTATAAGATATATATTCACGTAAGAATTTATAGTTCATACCACTATTATGTGAAAGCCTTTGATTGATGTTGCTAGTGGACGGTGTACTAGTTGAAGTACTTTCATTACAAATGACTTCTCTCGTTATTTCTATAAATTAAGTAAACAACATTGTTGAACTCAGTTACCTTTTATGGTGCTGTCATTAGCAAACTCACTAAACGAAAGAAAGTGATATTTTTTCATGAGAGCAGCTTTCATTTTATTCCACCTTCTGTTATAAGTGGATCTATGACAGCCAAGGGAACGTGACAAGTTCACAGTGGCCCTACGTCTACGAACATTCTCACTGACTTCAATAGAACTCATAGTATTGGCCTTACAAGGTAATCAATTACAATTAACATGAAAGTCTGAGAGCACGTCACTCACCTGCATCACGTAAGTTTTTTGTGATGGCTCCAAAGAATGTCGGAACACTTCAGCTAAACAACAAACGAAGTCACTCTGTGTGCGTATCAACCGAATGCCTGGTTCCGTATCTAGTAGATTGTTTCTATGACAATACTTTTGTTTCTTTACTAAGCGGCGCCTTAATTCGCCGAAGTCTATGGAAAATTCTGTTCCTGATGCGGTTTATTCAAAAACTGTACGTTACGTAGAATTGTCGACAAATTTCCCCCAAATACACGACGTAAGGGGGAAAAAGCGACATTTCCCCTAAATAACCGACGTAAAGGCGAAAAAGCGACATTTCCCCTTTATTTACCCTTTCGTCCGATTTATTTCCCCTTTTTTCCCCTTTATTTCCCCTTTTTGTGTTGCTTGGGTTAGATAAGACAATATAGAGTAACAAAGAGTTCATATACCACAAGAATTGGTCAATAATATACATATGATCTTAGTAAATTTAATCTTCTTAATGGTCACTTTGAATCATCGAATCAGAATAAGACAACAAAGCACTTTAAGGTCTATAAAAGCTTGACAACTTTCAATAAAATTTGATGCACCACATTGAACGAAATGATGAGGTGAGAGTTGACCAAACATACGAAGTGAATCAGCCAGTCATTTGAACACAAATAACACTGTTTCATTAACATGGATCATTTTACATACAAATTTCCGTACAATCTATTGATATGGTTTTATTTGGTCTTGAAATTGTTTTCCGAATTCTACGACTGTCAAGAAATCTGTAAACAGCCGGATTGGGAGAACTAAACACAAGTGATTTTTGTGAATGATACATTTCGACATGTAAGTAATCAGTCAGATTCTAATAGACATTACTCACAAAGAATAAGTCTCAATCAGCCTCATCCAGTTCTGAAAGGCAGATTTGGTGAATTCTCGTTCTACCACGTGAGTGGATCACATTTTCTAAAGGAGTTATTAATCCATATGTTTACATCATTTTATTCTGTTTAAACACAAATACCGTTTAAATATTATGATGAAGATGCAGATGGATTAATGGCTTGATTTGATGGTAAGTCAGTAAGTTTCTTCGACCTAAAATTGTCACTGACTTTTCTCGGTCGCTTTTCATTCCATGAATCAGAGATGGTCACTGTGTTTAGCAAACCAGCTTTATGCACCTAGTGACATTCATAGCTTCTTTGCACCATCTGACAGCGATTAATTCTTCTGAAATAATGAAAACAAGAATAGGTAATGAAATATCTGTATAATGAATATGCATCTCTTTCAATAAATGTACGTTTAAACACGGACTGACTTTGCATACAAGTTATCATGCCTATTCTCAGAGTTACATGTATGGTGATATGGTCAAATGTTTATCTCTTATGACAAAATTTCAAAGAATATTGTCACTTCAACGACAGGATGAACGTTTCAATCCAGTCAACCCAGAAAAATATTTCATCTCTGTAAAAGTTATTTTAAAAGCATCTGACTGAGTGAGAGTCATCTTATATCTATCTTACAGTCGTCTAACAAAAATCATAACCGGTCATTCAGTAATTCATCAATTTGAACAGCTGACCGAAATGAATGTGTGTGAAATTGATGGTCTAGGTGTTCAATTTCGAGTGAAACATGTTGTTGAAAATACGATGGTCATCAGACAGCAACTCCGAGACAATAAACATTTATAAATCAAGTTTATGATAGAGAAGTATCAGAGAACATGAAATATGATTTGATAGTTTGTAGGCTTCACAAGTTCAAACGGACGTCACTCACAACATCGCTTATTGTTGTACATTTGCTCAATTCAATTCACTCAGTCTAAAGAGAAGTGTCGTGTGGTTGAGATAATTTTTATACAAATTGAATGTGAGTAAAGTAAAAAAAACAAACTTCAAACTGAATAATGTAAGAGCTCACTCGTTTGCAAAACCTCGAAATTAAGAGACGATATTTTTCTTAAACGACTTGTGGTTTATTCCAATCTTGTATGTGTTCTTATATACAAATATTTTGTTAGTGAAAATATGCAAAGAATCTATGAATGTGACTAACTGTATAAAGCTGGTTTGCTGAACACAGTGACCATCTCTGATTCATGGAATAAATCGTGATCGAGAAAATTCAGTGACAATTTTAGGTCGAAGAAACTTACTGACTTACCATCAAATCAAGCCATTAATCCATCTGCATCTTCATCATAATATTTAAACGATATTTGTGCTTTAACAGAATAAAATGATGTAAACATGTGGATTAATAACTCCATTACAAAATGTGATCCACTCACGTGGTAGAACGAGAATTCACCAAATCTGCCTTTCAGAACTGGTTGAGGCTGATTGAGACTTATTCTTTGTGAGTAATGTCTATTAGAATCTGACTGATTACTTACATGTCGAAATGTATCATTCACAAAAATCACTTTTGTTTAGTTCTCCCAATCCGGGTGTTGACAGATTTCTTGACAATCGTAGAATTGGGAAGACAATTTCAAGACCAAATAAAACCATATCAATAGATTGTACGGAAATTTGTATGTAAAATGATCCATGTTAATGAAACAGTGTTATTTGTGTTCGTATTACTGGCTGATTTACTTCGTATGTTTGATCAACCCTCACCTCATCATTTCGTTCAATGTAGTGAGTCAAATTTTACTGAAAGTTGTCAAGCTTTTATAGACTTTAAAATGCTTCAATGTTTTATTCTGATTCGATGATTCAAAGTGACCATTAAGAAGATTAAATTTACTTAGATCATATGTACATTGTTAACCAATCATGGTGGTTGAAGAACTGATCGTTATTCAATTTTCTTTCCTCCATCTTGAGAAGCTGAGCTATCGTTTATTCACCGTTCCTGACATTACATTGAATACAATTCCTAATAAGGAAAAAAAAGAAAAGAGAAAAGAGGAAAAGTATAGTTTACTTGAATCATTATGTAACAAATGATCATTATATAAATATCACTGTAACATGTCCTACGCATTTCCTTAATCAAGGTCATATCATACATTGGTAAACAATAATTAGACAAAATATCATTATGGAAAAATCAATCTTTTATTCATCATATTCAGAAATTAGCTTAAATGTTATGAATTAGACTAATTGAATTAATCAAATTCATTAATTGAGTAATATAAATAAGAAACAAAAACGGGTATCCTGGATTCCATCATTAGTTACTATCCATCTTTACTTATAATCCTTGTGACTTAAGATAATATCGAAACAATCCATAAAGGATGTATATATTATCAATAAGAGATTGATTAATTACAGTCTCAAAAACAACACCATGTGAATTTATATTTTCATAGTGTTTGTTAATTCAATGGAATATTTCTTCTTCTAATAAAAGAAAAGAAAAAGAACCAAAAAAAAATAATCGATCTAGATATTGTAATTGATGAAACAATGATAAACAGTAAGTTTAATTATATAAATATGTTGATCGATAATAAGTAGTATTTATGTAAATGACTTCATAAACTTATTATTAATTATTTACGTAGGTCTCTTACTCCTTGTGAAGGAGCATAGGACACTCATCAACATTCTCCATCCAACTTTGGCATGGACAATCCTTTCCAGCTCTTTCCAGTTGTTATTCATATCTGCTTCAATATCCCGACGTAATGTGTTATTTGACCTTCTTCCTTTTCCATTTCCCTTCAGGATTCCAAGTTAAGACTTGCCTCGTGATGCAGGTTGATCAACTTACTATGGTGAATAATATAGAATAAAATAAAGAAATGGTCATAAATGCTCAAACTTATTGATTTTTGTTCTACATTATTTTGATAGACATAAACTATCTTGTTAATAGTTTATATAATTGTTATAGTTTATGATTGAATATTGTTTGTGACTTTTGCCCTGTTCATTATCATGTGATAAGATAATCAATGAGAATGTCGACTTAATATGACTTTGGCACTAACTTGTTAACGAACAAACATTTTGTTGTATGTAAAAAACCTTTTAATT